ATTTTCTTTAAGACCTATACGACGAAGAAACTCTTCCGTACACCATAATTTCGACACCCCTTATGAGTTTCGTTTGTGCTGGTTGCCGAATTCTCTCTCTCTCTCTCTCTCTCTCTCTCTCTCTCTCTCTCTCTCTCTCTCTCTCTCTCCCTCTCTCTCTCTCTCTCCCTCTCTCTCTCCCTCTCTCTCTCTCTCTCTCTCTCCCTCCCTCCCTCTCTCTCTCTCTCTCTCTCTCTCTCTCTCTCTCTCTCTCTCTCTCTCTCTCTCTCTCAGTCATAATTCTCTCATACTTTCCTCAATTCTGTCGTATTCCAACTTTCAAGCAAGGGGGAATTCCCCGTGTGTATTACTCACCCTTCCACATACCAAGTTCCAATAAAGTACATTTTAAAAAGAAAACCAAACACAATATTCAAACTTCTCAGAGCTATGAGATCATTATTACAGATGGCTTGATGTTATAGAAAAAGTACACAAAGCAAAGACGAAGAGACTGGCAATGTATGAGCCAACTCGGTATCTAGTTAAACATCTCGAAGAAACAGCAGTGTTTGTAGGGACTAGACTAACAACTTGGGAGAACGACATTCAAAAACAAACTGAGGTTTTTTTTCAAACATCCTAATCTTACTCTGAGAGCAACGAATCGGTTAGAAAAAACCACATGTATCTCTTCATTACAGCTATGTATCAATGTATACAACTTGTTCTTCCTGCTTCTCTTTCTCCTTCTTTTACTCCTTGTATCTCTCTTTCTCTCTCTCTCTCACTCTCTCTCTCTCTCTCTCTCTCTCTTTCTCTTTTTCCTTCTCTCTTTAGCTCTCTCTCTGTTTCTCTCTCTCCCTCTTTGTCTCTTTATCTATCTATCTATCTATCTATCTATCTATCTATCTATCTATCTATCTATCTATCTATCTATCTATCTACCTGTCCATCTCTCTTTCTCCCTCTAACTTTCACTTCAGGTGTCTCTCGTATCCTCCTGTCCTTAATTTTTAAACTTTTCTTTCACCAGTTTACCTCTCTGTCTGTCACCCTCTCTCCCACATCCCTCTCTCCATCCTCCCATTCTCTCTCTCTCTCTCTCTCTCTCTCTCTCTCTCCCTCTCTCCCTCTCCCTCTCTCTCTCTCTCTCTCTCTCTCTCTCTCTCTCTCTCTCTCTCTCACTATCTATCGAACTATAGGACCAACTTTCTCCATTCACAAACAAACAGGTCGAACGAACAGACAATACACAAAAACAACCTGGGTATTCACGTCGGCCATCAAAGTTTGCATTCTGCCTTACTTCAACTAGATTGTCAGCCTCAATGAAAGAATCATTCCACTGTTTCAGTAGAACCGACCATTTCCCTTTCCTCTCCCAGTCGTCGTCTCAGCATTTTCCACAAATTTTATTTTCCAATATGTTCGAGTGACTCTATGTCCTTTCATCATAAAATGACTGGTTGAGGGTTATTTGACTCCCTCGCCTGCGCTTTTTGTTTTTCTTTCATTTCTCTTATCCTTTCATTTTGACGAATATGTCAAAAAGGCATGCACCTGTCTTCCATACAATCGGAGGGTGGAAAACCTTTGAAAAAAAACGTGAACGCCATTCACAACCCCATTCCACATTTTCCACAGCTAACCACTGTGGTACAGCATTAATCAGAAGTCCATTTTGCAAAGACTTGCTTTCTGTTTCTCTCTCTCTCTCTCTCTCTCTCTCTCTCTCTCTCTCTCACACACACACACACACACACACACACACACACACACACACTCTCTCTCTCTCTCTCTCTCTCTCTCTCTCTCTCTCTCTCTCTCTCTCTCCCTCTCTCTCTCTCTCTCTCTCTCTCTCTCTCTTTCTTTCTTTCTCTCTCACTCTCTTTCTCTCTCTCACTCACTCACTCACTCACTCTCTCTTACTCCTTCTCCCTTCTCCCCAGGTGTCAGTGGAACTGATTGTAGAAGTTGTAGGGTTCTTTACTGTACACATACTCCGGTTCTGTGGGAGGGGGGTAACAATCTATTTCGTTGCTCTTCTTATTACTTATTTTGAGATGGTTGGCAAAGTTATCACCTCCGTTACCCAGCGCCTCCGGCTTTCCGTTGAGACCTCCGTTCTGGATGTAAGTGTTGTAGCCTTTCGGTGGAGGATCGTCGATGAGCACCTCATCGTCGTTGTCGAAGGGCTTGTAAAGGTAGATATTTCTGAGCATGAAGAGGAGTGGGGCATATGCCACATTGGTGAGGAAGATGAGAACGTTGAGCCAGGTGAAGCCAATGGCCTGCACAATGCTTCCGGCAACTATAGGGCCGATGGCGTAAGCCAAAGAGTAGGAGATGTCGGCGATAGCGTAGACGCTTCCGTAGACGCTCACGTGGCGGACATCGACCAGGTAACCCAGGGTGGGCAGGAGGGCAGTGTCAACGAGAGCGATACCAAAACAGATGCCCATGATGGGGAAAATGACCACGAAGAACTCCTTGGAGAACGGGACGAAGAAACAGAAACAGCCTTCTATCGTAAGGCCGATTAATGCCATGAGCCATTGGTAGTGCGGATATTTTCGGGCCAAGATTACCGTGATGTAAACACCGCAAACGTGAGGGATGAAGGCAGGGAGCCAGGAGAAGCCGATCTGCCACTCATCAGCGCCCATTGTCTGCTTCATCCACAGAGAGATGGTGGGCTCCAGGAAAGCCAGGGAGACGTTCGACATTGCCAGGGCTCCAGCAGCTACTGCGATGTACGGGTCAAGAAGCAGACGGTAGATGGGTGTGCCTTTTGGGCGCTCTTCGCGAGTGAGCATTGAGCGCTCCAAGCGAACAGGCTTCATCACTAGGATCATGAAGATACCGTCCACCAGACAGACAAGGGCCAGGATGATAAAGGGGGCTGTCTTACCCGTGAATTCGTAGAGAATTCCGCCGAAAGGAGGCGCAAAGAGACAGCCGAAGGAGATGAAAGCCTGCGCAATACCAAGAGCTTTCGTTCGCTCGGTCTCCTCTGTAAAGCGATCGGCTATCATTGCAAGTCCAGAAGTGTCAGCGAAAGCGGAGCCGAGTCCCTGAAGACTTCGGGCCAGGAATAGAACAGCGTAACTTTTACCGAAGGCAAAAACAGACGTAGATAGGAACATGATGGTCAGACCAATCATCATGGGAATGTCATAGCCTATCCTGTCAATCAAGCCCCCTGTAAAAGGGTTGACAAACAACTGGACAATTGCCTTGGAAGCGAAAAGGACGCCTATAGCCAACCCTTCGTCACCGTACGATATAGGCGGGGGAGGCACAGGAATACGCAGTAGGTAGATTCGATTGTCATGTTTATTGAGATGTATAGTATAGTTGGTCGCTAAGACCGCTTCAGCCGGTACGTTTACGTACGCTCCGTTCTTCAGCTCTCCCGTAGAGTTTAGCTTGTGGGCCATTACGTAGCTGTCTGTGACGCCCTCTACGTAATTCGTACCATCAGTGACGTTATAATACTTGTACAAGAACTGCGTCTCCTGTTCTTTGTGCTGGTTCATTTCAGTCAGGTACTGCGGGATGATGGGCACGATAACCATGTACAGCATGTTGTCCAGCAGGAGAGCAATGCAGACGATGACCAGAACGAGGCGGCGCTGAGATGTCGGGTCTCGGATTTTATCCTGAAAGTTGGACCACATGACGGAACTCTTGTCCGTGACTCTTGAGGTGAAGGTCATCTTGAAGCCTGGTCAGAAACAAAAGCCGCCTGGTTAGTCGCCTCGAGGGCCAAAACACGCTTTGGAATCATACACTGGAAAATGTCGCTAGCTAGGTCAACAAGAAAAGAAACACTATAACGCTTCAGCTTACTGTCAAGGCGGAATGTCTACGTACACTAAACGACGCGGAGTCGAAACGAAACACTCCTAGAATAGGTGGACCAGCGTTTGTGCTGTAATGTTTAGCATCCTTGCGTTGACCGCAAATACTTGAGTTTGGCTCCCGCATAGGGACAATGTTCTATCGAGTATTTCCATTTCCTTCGTGGGGTGGTGTATTACTGCTAGCAGTATGAATTATGACAACCCGCTTCCTAAATTATCTAAATTATATATCGACTGGGGCATAAAGCATTTACAATCGTCTACATTCAATGAAGACATAAATGTGAATTCATTGTCGCTTTGCGCCAGAGGATACCAGTATAATTGTTATCGTTTCTTCGTTTGTTTCGTTTCGGTATCGTTTTAGTTTCAGCATTGTTTGGTAAAAGTGAGTGTTCCATATGAATTTTCAAAATCTTGACATTGTCCTAATGCAGAAAATTAAATCCAAACGAATTCTTCTTTTGACTTCGGACAGGTGGGAAATGCAGCCGTCATAAGTATGAGCCATGAAATGTGTTTCTTTATATAACAGTACTGGCGAATTGTTCGGTTAGAGCCCTCATTTAAGCAAAATTAAAACTGAAGGAAAAGAATGCAATTACTCTTAGGTGTTATCAATGTGTTTACTTCTCCTTTGACTCATAAGTCCCTTGCCCTTAAGATAAGGAGGGGCGGTTGTGGAGTGGGGGCGTGTTAAAGCGGTCTCCGTTTACTTTTATTTGCCTGGATATTATTATCATCAAAGAAACAAAGGTGGGTTTTTATTTTTACTTCACTTAACTTTTGCTGTCGGAAATCATACGTGTATTTAAGCCCTTCAAGTGTTTAAAAAAAACGTTTACTTTAAAGAAACCTCTTCAAACTCGTTATATAATCTTTCTATAATCCCTCTTTTAAAAGCTATAGTAATCATGTCTGGACTGACTTGATCTCACTCACATTTAGTCCATAAGTGCGCCAAATTTATCGGTGGTAATAATATAACTTTGGAATTGTTTATCACAAATTCTACTAGCACTGTTGACCACGATGGTAGCTATCACTCGTGATCAGTGTCTGTGTATTTTAAGGTCTCCTATATCCAACCACTCACACCCCCCCC